ATGTGTGCTCTACTCTATTGGCTGAACTAAGGATATGCATATAGTGATGGGGTTACATATTTTCTATAGTTGAGTGTAGCTGACATGTGCTTTATTGGATTAATGACTTCTGTATAAGCTATAGTTACTAGCTAGATGCTTATTTGCATAATCTTGCTCTGCTGTGTTGACATTCCATAAAAGCTTTAGTTAATAAATGCCTTTATAATCAAGATGAGCAGCCACTAACTGCTTATGAATGAGCACGGAATGCACAAATCGCAAGGAATCATAGAAAGATGGAAGAACTTGGAATACGACGTGTGGGCCCTAAACCTGTGTCTCCAAAGGCAAAAAAAAGTCAAGCACAAAGGGTAGACACAGTGAAGATTTGGAATATATCCCTGAACCAGGGGAGGTAGTTGAGGGATATGATGATACAGATAAAACAGATTCAGATTTAGAAGATGAGACAGTGCCCCTATCAATTGATGAGGTGCTTGTTCTATCTTGTATTATGTTCAGAGGGGGAGGGGACCGGGGGCTAGGTAGCCATGCAATGCTTTACTATTTGGATATCAATGGAATTTGTACATGCTTCCTGCTTAAGTTTGTATCTCTAATTTCAGTGTCTGGGTCGAAGAAGCCATAGAGGAGGCTCTGCTAGCAGGACAAAAGGCAGCACTGCCATGAGTCCTGGACGAAGGCTCTCCAAGCGAGTGAGGTCAATACCACTAGAAGAGGCTGCTCATGGATTTTGTACTCGGAGGTCTTCCGTTGGCAAAAGAGTGGAGGTAGCAGTAGTAGGTGAACATAATTCTCCATCACGACCGACACCCGGACCCAGGGATCAATTCCAAGTTCATCAACTGACTGGAGACATTGTTCGAGATGGCACCCTACCTAGCCCTAAGAGAGACTCCTCATGGCGGATGATGATAGCCCTCTTCAAGAGGAGCCCTCTCGAAGAAACTCCTCCTCCCCCACCCATAGAACGATGAAAGTTGCCTAGGTTAGTATTACCTTACAGATGTCTATCAATCAATTTGAACTAGCTATTTGATATCCATGTAACTTTTCTAACAATCTAAATGTATGAAAACTGTGTAGTACCATTGCCAGGAAGAGCGAGGAAGCTAGGGCCTCGAACTCATGGAATTATGCTTGACAAAATGAGCAAATCACTAGGAGGAGCAAGGATGCGCATCTCTATTGCCGAGGGGAACAGAAGGCCACATGATCCAGTGCAAGGTGCCAAGTTTGCCTCAGAGGAAGGTATAGTAGTCAGGAAGGATGTACCAATTTTGATGCATTGGAAAGAATACAAGGGCGAGAAGCCCGACGCCGCCTATTGCACAAGATTTGTGGAAAGGCTAAATGTATGTATGGGTATCCCCTCTTGACATTCAACTCTGCTTTGAGCAACTTTAATAGATTTACTTTTCATTTACACTACTATATGTAGGGAAGGTTGCGCGTTAATAGTGCTCACTCACCAACAAAAAAAGCTTGACAGAATGTAATGCAGTCTATGGTACGGCAGGAATGCTATAGGTTGAAGAGAACATACTTCAATGGCGTCCCTGCTAATCAGATCCGTATGACCTCTCTTGTCTCGTCCATGAATGATGCACAGTGCTGTGAACTTATCAAGATATGGTCTAGTCCTAAGAACAAGGTGTGTGAACCCATCAATTTTCTATCTAGTCTTGCTATGGTCTACTTGTGCTGCAGTCTAACACAAATAAAGCTATAGGAAATATCTGAGAAGAACAAGCGAAACCGTGCAAAAGTGAAGTACCACCAGGCTACAGGATCTTGCTCCTATGGTGTCCAGATGCAAAAAATTATAAGTGATGGTTGTGTTTTATTGTTACTCTTGCCTTTGTATAAATATAAACCAAAACTCATGTGCAATGTGAACAGAAGGAGAACAAGAGGAATGCAACAGAACAACATCAAGGACTTGAAGAAGAAAATGGTCCACATGATGAAGATGTTAATACTTTGGAAATCTTCAGGGACTTCCATACCAGTAGGAAACATGGCTTGAGAGATGATGCAAGAGCAGCAGTTGTAAGTAGCTTCTTTTGTTTCCCTTGAAATATATTGAAGCCATTGCCATAAAAGAAGGAAACATAGCAAGAGCCTAGTGTTACGGAAATCTACTAAAATCTACTGAAGCTTATGTAATCTCTATCAGCAATAGGCTGAGGAATACTTATGCATTACTTGTTATGAATCAATTTCTTGGGTTTTCAATTGAAGTCCTCATACACTATCTTCAACCTAATGTTTTACTGATTGAATTTCATAGGAAGCTATGGAAACTATGCAAGCAGAACCTGATGCTAATGGGCAGCATCCAATTACTAGTGCTGATGTTGTTTGTAAGGTCCTCTACGTCCAACAGGGCAAGGCCCCCTCCTAGGGAAGCGGCAACAACCTTTTTTTAAAGAATGCTAGTATCCAGACAAGCTCCACCAGAACAGAGACATCGACGAAGATAATGCTTTGGGAACAGCTTGCTGCTAAACAGGAAAGTTCTGCTGCCCTCGTCGATCAAGTGGATGAACTGAAGAGGAAGACTGAAAAGACTGAAAGGGAGCTTGAGGATACAAGAAACGGCAATAGGAGGAGTACAACAATCTCCATGAGCTATGCATGTGCTTCAGCTCTTCTGGTAACTCTCAGTCTTCAACTCCAGCGGCTTGATGCAGTGAACATTTGTGGTTTGATGTGTGGACTCATGTGCCAGTTTGATGTGTGGACTCATATGCCGGTTTAATGTGGTGATACTCTGTCAGTGGTTTTCTGCTAACATGTGAAATGTAAATTGTTGTTATTTAATTGCTAGCCTAAATAGTTATGTAGTCAGTCTGTGCAGTAGTGACGATCTTGAATTACTTCTATGACAAATTGATTGTACTCCATGTGGTAGAACCAGGACAGGCCACGTGATCAAATAAAAATGCGATATGTGGACAAACCAGTGCACGACACGTGAATTGACCAGGGCATGACACGTGGGCTATTAAAATCCAACACGTGGAAGGAAATCGCAGCCACGTGGATGTATAAAAATACCACACGTGGACAGACATCATAGTGACGCGTGGTCAAATAAGAAACAGACACGTGGACCAATAAAAATACGACACGTGGTCCAATAAAGAAGTGACACGTGATCCAATGGCAACACGAAATGTGTGCTAGTAGAAAACTGCCATGTGGAACAACAGGGAAACAACACGTGGTCCAATAAAAACCTAAAACGTGCAAGAACCAGAGATTACCACATTGTGCAATAAGAAGGTGACACGTACCCGAACCATCTCCAATGCAACCGGCTATAGCATGTACTAGTGGAAAGCATCTCCAACAGAAGCGCCCACCAGCGTGGCAGCCCCCTGCCACGCATGCCAAAACAGTTCTATGACGATCTGTTTTTCGTCACAGATCAAAGCACTTCTATGACGATTTTGTCAGATTCATCATAGATATGCAAGAGTGATGCGACTTCTATGACGAACCGGTTTTGTCATAAATTCGTCATAAAACTAAAATTATGACGAATTTGGCTCCTTCAGTGATGAAATCTATTCATCATAGAAGTGGATATTTCTTGTAGTGATATGAGCCCGACTCTAAAACGTCGCAGTCTATGAGACTTGGGTGATCTCTAGTAAGCCCATGTAGAGACCAGGGAGTATGACGTATATGCTACACCCGCGAGGAAGGGTACTGTCAGCTAGGTACTAATTTGACTTTAAGTGAAACTCGTTCGCACAAACTTACAATTTAAGGCATAGTCCATTGTTCAAGTTGTGGATGGGTGTAGCTTGAAGCTCTAGGCGGAAGTTCAACTTAACAATATGTGCTGAAACAATAGGATATCAAACAGTAACAGGAACAGGCAAATGTCTAAATGAACATTTGAGATCTGGTGGGGGATTGTTAGAATATATATGGGCTTCGCCCAATAATTTTTTTTAAATTTCTAGAGAAATCTCAAAGGCCCATTCATGTGTGCAAAGAGTGGGAGTGGAAATTCTTTAGTCCCACCTTTGCTTGTGGAAGTGGAGGTAGCCATGCTTAAATATGGAAGTCCTCTCCACTTCCTCAATGCAAGTCTAGTGTGAGGAAGAGAAAGGAAGCCCCTTTTGTCGAAGTGGAATCGTAGAATAGAAAACGCACTCGCTCGCCTCGCCGAGGTGGGGCGAAGGGCGTGAGCACGCGGCACCAGCGTGAATGATCCGCCAAAATCTAGCTCCTCGCCTTGCGGGGACGCGGTCTCTTTTTTCAGTTTTAGTTTTTGGTTACTTGGCCTTTAGGTTTGTAGGTAGGAGCCCTACACAGTTTATATCGTGATTACGACATGAGATCGGGTTGGACAGGCCTATATAAGCAGCCTATCAGCCACGCCAAAACACATCTAATTGTGCTATGGTTTTTTCCTCGTCTCGCCGCAGCGCCGCCACCGTAACTTCTCCATCCCGAGCACCTGCGTGCACCGACGGTCAGGAGAGCAGGTCTTCGGAATGCTCGTCCTTGCGATCCTGCGATGGGAGAGGACGAATAAGGTTTTTGGAAGCACTCTTCGTGCGACTGCTCCCAACTACGCAGGCAGTGCCGGTTCATGGTACAAACTGACAGTGTTGAGGAAAACAACACTGCTAGTTCATCACCCAAGCCGGCAGTGTTAAGTCGAACAACACTGCCGGTTCATCACCCAAGCCGGCAGTGTTGTTACTGTGATCACAGTGGTCCGTGGATGCAACCGGCAATGTTTGTTTGGGCAACGCTGCCGGCTCAGTGCTTCAGCCCGTAGTGCTACGCCTATCAACTTTCCTTCTTTAGTGAAATGGTGAAGAAAGCCCATGCTAACTCATTTTAGCACGTACTTATAAACCAGCTTTAATACAAGATGATATACTTGACTCCTCGTTATTATAATGCTTGGGATAAAATACAATTTTTATTCTACAGGTGCCGAAAAAAATATAGGCAATACACAAAGATCACATAGAAAGTATGTAGTTCACCAACTTGTCAATGGCGATCTGAGCAGTCCCACCATCTTTCAAACATTCTCCCACTTTCTTCTTAAGCTCCTTAGCTCTTCCCCTCATCTCCCCTCCCTCCCTTTCCTTCATGAGCTTCCTAATGGCCTTCTCTATGTTTCCTCTTTCAAGCTCACCATCTAGCTCCAACCCTACACCCCATGTGTTCACCACATACCTCGTGTTCGTCGTCTGATCTGCAAATTGAGGCCTGCACATCATTGGAACACCCTCACAGATACTCTCCAACGTTGAGTTCCATCCGTTGTGAGTCCAAAATCCACCGACCGCAGGGTGCGCCAGCACCTCCTGCTGCGGCGCCCATCGAATCACCTTGCCCCTGCTATGAACTGCAGCCTCAAAGCCATTTGGAAAATCTGGACAATCCATACCCCGTACCAAGTCTGGCCGAACCACCCATAGAAAAGGATGGCCACTGTTGGCCAAACCCCAAGCCACCTCCAAGAACTCATTGGAGTCCAGGGAAGCCAGGCTTCCATAGCTCACATACAACACCGATTCTGGGTGATGCTGGTCGAGCCACTCAATGCAACTGAAGTCTTGGTCCAACAAACTACTCCCTATGCTCTTAGAGGATAGCTTGTTGACAGGACCAGCTGCGAGTACAAGAGGTATGTTGAGCTCTTCACGGATCCTCTGTACCTCGGCTATTTCGAGAGCATCAAACGTATCCATCAGTAGACCAGAGGACTTCTTCACTGCTTCAACGACTCGAGCAAGTGTTCTTTTCATTACTTCTTGGTGGCTCGGGGGTGTATAGAAGAGGTCCCTTACCCGCAGCGGTGGCAGCTCCTTCACCGGCATATCGAGTTTCGTCTCTATACAAGAGCATGCATATAGTTAAATCACACTTAGTACTATAGTCTATTAGTGCACAACAATTCGTTTAATCATGGGGCAATGGTGTTCTTGCTTGCGGTGTGAAGACCAATTGTGATGTTATCCTCGTTTTCTTTTTAGTTTGTGATTTAGCCCTTTCTTTTACAACCCGAACGAATCGTTTGCCCCTAGTTTAACTTTGATAGTTGGCGTTGGAATAAAGGAATTAAAACAGAGAAAACATTCAAAGAATTGGTAAAATAATATGGGTGGTCTTGTACTTTTTATTCGTGCACTTGCAGACATTTCAAATTAAATGTTTGCAAAAATTTGCTCAAATTTTAAATGTATGCAAATTTGGTTGTCAAAATTTTTAGTATCTATCAAAATGCTCTAAATGTTAAAATAGGGGCAAAACGACATATAGTATTCATAAAAATAGGAGCAACTGTGATGAGCAAACTATATAGCTAAGCTAAGTTTACACCGTTAAGTACTTGTAACAGAGAATAGAGGAAAACAACGCCTCCAGTTTTAAAAAAAAGCAGAGGCAAAATTGAGGATGGCAACAAGGCGGATTGAGATCTCTGGATCCGCCCCAAACCCGCAACATTTTGGGTATCAAACCTAAAAATCAATGGGCGAAAACTAGGCCGTGAAACCGAAACCCGCGGACCCAAAATCACGGATATCCGCCCCAAACCGACCCACTGCCATCCTTAGGCAAAATCACAAGGTTATTAGAAAAATAAGGGTAAAATTATAATTGGGCTTGAAAACAGGAGAAAAAAACGCAAGAGCCCCTTTAATCATTAGAATTTTGGCTCAAAAACCAACTTTACAAGTTAAATTTGTTTAATGCTAGGCAAATTTCATTTTGAAAGTTTGTTGTGTACAATGGAAAGATTCCAGTACTGATCAAGTGTTAAGAGATTGGGAGATATATAGCACAAAAATATGTGCGTTAAGTTTCCAAAATAATTATCAGAATCCAAAAGCAAAAGCAAACTTCATTGTGCAGACGTAAATTGTCACCTTGGTGAGGCAGATAGCCTTTTTCATGAAGCATGGGGTAGGCAAGCAAGCAACGGAAGCAGGCGGCGCTCCCGGTGCTGAGCACCAGCGTCGGGAGGCCCAGTGCCGCGGCAGCCTTTGGCACGGCTAGGAGGTTACCGTCGAAGATGATGCACGCGGCCGGGGGCTGCCCCTCGTCGCCGAGCACCGACGCGAGGATGCCGCGGAGGCCCGCCGACTCGTCCGCCTCCATGGCGGCGTTCATGGCGTCGAGGCCGTTCCCGGACGAGGCGACGTGGTCAGGAACGCCGTCGGGCACGGGCACGAACTGGAACTCCGGGTGCCGCTCGGGGTGCGGCGCGCTCAGACACGTCGCGTGGAGCACGGTGACGGCGAGGCCCCGCGCGTGGAGAACGTCGGCCAGCTGCAGCATCGGGTTGGTGTGGCCCTGGAACGGCACCGGAAACATTAGGACGCGGCGCCGCCGGTGCGTTCCGCCGCCGAGGTCGCCACCCCTGCCGATGCACGGTTCTTCGACAGCGGCCATGATTGCCGTCCCGCACGCTCGCTGGAGCACTGTCAACGTTGTCGGAGTCGTGGTGGCCGGTGGGTGTCTGGGTGATGTGGTTCTGGAGTGGTTCTGGAGTTTATAGTACCATTTACAAGCGTTGTGGACCGTGGTACTGCATCAGATTTTAATTGACTTTCGTAGTCGTGCTGGGCAAAGTTATTACGAACCGGACCGGAGATTGAACCGGCGAGGCCATCGGTTCACTGGTCTAACTGTTTAGAATCGGTTGAACCACCGGTTCAATTGTTTTGGACCGGACAAATTGAACCGGCAGTTACTTTAAACCGGTATATATATATATATATATATATATATATATATATATATATATATATTTGCTATAATTAATAATTGACAGGTGATAAATAAACAACACAAATTTAATTGCACAAGTTTTTAGATTAAAAAAAAGTGCATGATAACTGATAAGAAATGCAGCTCATCTACTTTAGCCATGTCGTGGAAAACTTAAAAATCAATCCTAAATTAATTAAATCTGGAGAAAAGAGATGCCAAATAACTAATATACTCTAACACGAACACGAGCTTCATATATTTATGAATCTTCACATTGACAGATCATAGATGCCTAAATTAATCTTAACCCAGGCTCACCATTAGCCATGTCGCGAAGTTCTGGCATGGTTGTCTGGAACTGGAGAACAGCAGGGAAGCGCCTGAAGGCCTGGAGCGGTGGAGCCTAGAGCAGAGTAGCAGACAGCAAGGCTACAGCCGCACGCCGCACGCCGGTGCCAATTGCGGACGCCGTTGACCACCGTAGCCACCCGCCGCGGCCACTACACCGCCCGTTGCCTGCCACTGGCCGCACGCCGACCCGTCCATAACTGCTTGCTAATGCTCTTGCCGCCGCTTGCTAGACGCTGCACGGAGCAGAAGCGCCGCGCCGCCGCCCAGAACACGAAAAGGCAATTTCCCCTCCCACTCGGCCACTCCCAGCGGCAAAACAACCCTAAAGAGGCATTTGGAACCAATTTCCAATAATACCCCTAACTAGACAAGGTCGTCCTGATTGCACAGAGGGGTAATTTTGGAAAAACTCACCGGTTCGTATGGAACCGGCCGGTTCATCAGTTCCGTAAAAAACCGGCCGGTTCAACCGGTTTTTAGTGGTTTGATTGCACAGACGGTCTTTTAAGTGAACTGGACCGGTCTATGCTCTGGTTCGGTCTTTTAGCGGTTGAACCGCCGGTCCGTTCCAGTCCTAATAACTAGGGTGCTAGGGTGGTGGGTCATGTAGCAGTACCGGTAGGAAAAATGAAAGCCAAGGACACCAGTAATGGTTAGAGTCAGCTATTAGGTTTAAGTCAACTTCTTCAATAGTGCTAACTTTTAGCATATAGCTTTTAACATAGATAGCTCCACATGACACTCTCACATAACCTTGAAATATGTGCTATAGTTTAGCTCTTGATCAAGAGCTAGCTTTTCTCTCTTCTATATCTATATCTATATACCTAATAATAAAAAGCAAAATTTCAAGCTACTTTTTTCGTCCAGCCCATCTAATTTGGCCTAACCGCCGGCCCACTCGCTCCATCCCTGTTCGTCTTAAGGTCTTACCCGCACGGCCGCACCCCCACACGCCCGCTCGCCTTCTCCTCGGACAGCCGCACGCTCCCATGGCTTGCTGCCTTGCTTGCTTGCTCCCCATCCACCATAGTCGGCCGACCACCTCTCCTTCCCTTCCATGACCGCGCGCGTCCGGAGCTCCCTTTTCCCAGGCCGCTCAACCGACCAAGCACCGTCGCAGGGCCGCATCTGTCGCACCGCCGCGAGTACACATGGCGGGCGGTTCTCCTTCTACCTCTGGTTGAAATAGGGACACCCCAGATGTGCACGTGGTTGGGGCTCCTCATCGCCGATCAGGCCGCCGCCGGCAAGAAATGGACCGAAATCGGGCGCCTATGTTTGGTAGTCCGGGGGAAAGGATGAGAAAAAGAAATAGAAGAGAAGGAAAGGTTCCAAGTGAAAAAGTACGAGAGAGAAATAAAAGGTGGAAGGATCTAAATTGATTTCGAGAAAGTCAAGGATTCCTGATGTAAAAGTGCAGCTGACGTTGGCCTCCTACTGCTGGGTTGGAATCCACCGTGTGGGCCTTTTGCGCTAGTGGACTAGGCCGAGCCGTGGCCCAAGTGTAGGCTACTTTTCTTTTTTCTCTTTTTTTATGAAAACAACAAATTTGTAAATTATGTGTAAAGTCACGTAAAAATCATAAAATAGCAAAACTAGGGGCGTGTTTAGAACTACTCCATGAACTTTGATCAACTAACTCTACCATGGAGTAGTTCCACAAAAACCTGGAGTTTGTAGAGCACCCCTTTAGGTGCTCTCACAACTCCACTTTTTTCATTGAACAGAGTGCGTGGAGCTAAACCTGTTTGGCCAAAAAACATGGAGCGGAGCTGAAAAACGTGGAGTGTAGCCGTCCCAAACACCCTCTAGTGTTTTAAACTCCTCTTGACTAGACCTACACAATAAACAAATAATATTACATGCTTTAGAATAAAATATTTGGTATAGTTGCAAATCTATGTTCTCTTAGAGTTTTGATAATGATAGATAGGTTTTGTACCTCGCTCTTTCCTGATTGTATCTTCTGAAACCCTGTAAAGTGTAAACAATAATGGACCTGATTTTTGCAGGTGCGTTCCTTGCTATTTCTTCCAACACACGGTACCAGATTATTAATGGATTAGAGCGCCTGTTGACCCATGGGATCACCGGCTGACGACAATGAACTAGTCTCCAGACCACTAGTCTCCCAGACCAGACCACTAGTCTTCCAGACCACTAGTCTTCCCAGACCACTATACCGGTCGTGTCTGTACCCACACACTACGGATCGAGCTAGAAGAAGAAAGGAGAACAGAGCAAGTACGCACAATACAAGACAACAACGTTGGCCGAGGCCCTGTCTGTGTGATGGCAAATCTAAGCTCTCTTTACTGAGTTACCTTGGTGCCCTATTTATACAACTATATCTATCTAACTAAAGTACAGCGCACATGCTGTAACAGTAACTAGATAAGCATACAGGGCTGACTCTGCGCCGGCCACTGCATGTGCCTACAGTGCTGCAGGTGAGCCATGCGACGCCTGCACCTGCAGCAGCTACTGTATTATAGCAGGGGGCAAAGTCGGCGTCACCTTCCTCTGCTGTGTTTCACACAAGGCGGCAGTAGATTAGCTAACTGCGCCTGGTTGAGGCTTCACCTGTTGCGAAGCGTGTCCCAGCTGCTTCTTTGGCATTCACTGTTGGTGTGCGGTTTGCCAATAACGTGTATGGAGGAATGCAGTTTGTTGACTGGGCAAGAATGAGTGGTTGTCAATGAGGTGCAGGCTTTCATTTTCATGGTGAGAATCTTCCTTCTGCTATACATGCATGTTACCCCC